GGTTTTCAGCAGATTTACTATACTGTTCCTAGAGGCTGATTTCTTTTTATTTATCCGCTTGGGGCTAATAGGGCTTCATTTGTGATTGAGGTCGTTCATAAATTTTGAAAAGTTTTAGCCATATGGTTTCAAATGTTGCCTTGTCTCCCTTCCTTTTGGAACCTCTGTTACACACATATTAAGCCTTGTCACTGTATCCTTCCTATGTGATTAGTCATATGTTGCTGCATAACAAATTACTTCAAAACGTGGGTGTAATTTGTTATTTCATGGTTATTATGCATCAGATCAGGAGTCTCAGAGCAGCTTAGTTGGGTGGTGCTGACCAGGGTCTCTCATGAGGTGCTGCTAACCTGTCAGTGGGGCCCAAAGTCTCTTGAAGGCTAGAGGAGCTGTTTCCAAGTGGCTGGCAGGTCTCAGGTACCTTCTTACTGCTCCTCACCATGCAGGCCTCTCTGCAGGGCCACCTAGGTGTCTGCATGACATGGCAATGGCACTTAGCTTCCCTCAGAGTAAGCGTGCTGGTTAATTTTTTTTTTTTTTTTTTTTTGAGATGGAGTCTCACTCTGTCGCCCAGGCTGGAGTACAGTGGCGTGATCTTGGCTCACTGCAACCTCCACCTCCCGGGTTCAAGCGATTCTCCTGCCTCAGCCTCCTGAGTAGCTGGGACTACAGGCATGTGCCACCATGCCTGGCTAATTTTTGTATGTTAGGTAGAGACAGGGTTTCACCATGTTGGTCAGGCTGGTCTCAAACTCCTGACCTCGTGATCTGCCCGCCTTGGCCCCCCAAAGTGCTGGGATTACTGGCGTGAGCCACCACACGCGGCTGTGCTGGTTAATTTTATGTGCCAACTTGACTGGACTCAGGGATGTCCAGATAGCTGGTGAAACATGATTTCTGGGAATGCCTGTGAGAGCGTCTCTGGAAGTGCTCAGCACTTGAATCAGAGACAGAATAGATACATGCCCTTAAGGATGCTGTTGGGTGTCATCCAACCCGCGGAGGGCCTGAAGAGAACACAAAGGCAGACGAAGAGTGACTCCACTCTTACTAGGCTGGGACATCCATCTTCTCCTATCCTTGGACACTGGGGCCTCTAACTTTTGGGCCTTCAGACTCAGACTGGGATTGACACCATTGACACCCCAGTCCCTGTGCCTTTGGGTTTGGACAGGAATACACCACTGGTTTTATCAGGCCTCCAGCTTGCAGATGGCAGATTGTGGAACTTTTCAGCTTCCATAATTGTGTGAGCCAATGCCTCGTAATAAATCTCTTTCTATGTGTCTGTTTATGTATGTATTATTTGTTCTGTTTCTCTGGCAAATCGTGATAATACGGTGAGTGCTGTGAAGGAAAGAGAGTATCCAATCCAGAGGCTGTAGTGTCTTTTATGACCCAGTCTCAGAAGTAACACCCCATCTCTTCTTCAGAAGACTACAGTGTTTTGCTGACACATCCAACAATCCTGGTACCACATAGGGAGGGACTACTCAAGGGTGTGAATGCTGGGAGGGGCATTACTAGGGCACACCTTGGAGGCTGTATACCACAATGACTCTTATCTTCCTCTATATTTTTTCTACCCTTTTGACCCTATGTGCTTCATCCTAAAGTCTCGCTCTATCGCCCAGGCTGGAGTGCAGTGGCGTGATCTCGGCTCACTGCAAGCTCCGCCTCCTGGGTTCACGCCATTCTCTTGCCTTAGCCCCCCAAGTAGCTGGGACTACAGGCGTCCGCCACCACACCCAGCTAATTTTTTTGTATTTTCAGTAGAGACGGGGTTTCACCGTGTTAGCCAGGATGGTCTCGAGCTCCTGACCTCGTGATCCGTCTGCCTCCGCCTCCCAAAGTGCTGGGATTACAGGCGTGAGCCATTGCACTGGGCCTCTAATTTTTTTTTGTAGGGCTGGGGTGTTATATTTTATCCACATGTACCTAAGTATTTTTTTATTGTGCAACAAGCATTGCATTTGCCAAATTATTTGTAGAGATCATTTGAGGACTAGGATGATATCCTCTTTCCCTGGAGAAGATTTACCTTTGGTTTTTGGGATTTTGTTTGTTTGTTTGTTTTTTGACACAGAGTCTTACTCTGTTGCCTAGGCTGGAGTGCAGTGGCCGGATCTCAGCTCAGTGCAAGCTCCGCCTCCCGGGTTCACGCCATTCTCCCGCCTCAGCCTCCCGAGTAGCTGGGACTACAGGCGCCCGCCACCACGCCTGGCTAATTTTTTTGTATTTTTAGTGGTTTTTTGTATTTTTTAGTAGAGACGGGGTTTCGCCGTGTTAGCCAGGATGGTCTCGATCTCCTGACCTCGTGATCCACCTGTCTCGGCCTCCCAAAGTGCTGGGATTACAGGCTTGAGCCACCGCGCCCGGCCTGTTTGTTTTTGAGACTGAGTCTCTCACTCTGTCACCCAGGCTGGAGTACAGTGGCTCAATCTCAGCTCACTGCAACCTCCACCTCCTGGGTTCAAGTGATTCTCATGCCTCAGCCTCCACAGTAGCTGGGATTACAGGGATGTGCCACCATGCGCGGCAAATTTCTGTATTTTTAGTAGAGATGGGTTTTTACCATGTTAGCCAGCAGGCTGGTCTCAAGTTCCTGACCTCAACTTAGCCACCCGCCTCAGCCTCCCAAAGTGTTGGGATGACAGGCATGTGCCACCACACCCGGCCAGTGTTTTTTTTTTTTTTTTGTTTTTTTTTTTTTTTTTTTTTGCTTTGTTTTGTTTTGTTTTTGTTTTTGAGATAGAGTCTCACTCTGTTGCCCAGGCTGGAGTGCAGTGGCATGATCTCGGCTCACTGCAAGCTCCACCTCCTGGGTTCATGCCATTCTCCTGCCTCAGCCCCTCAAGTAGCTGGGACTACAGGTGCCCACCACCACGCCCGGCTAATTTTTTTGTATTTTTTGTATTTTTTTTTTTGAGACGGAGTCTTGCTCAGTAACCCAGGCTGGAGTGCACTGGCAACATCTTTGCTTACAACAATCCCCACCTCCTGGGTTCAAGTGATTCTCCTGCCTCAGCCTCTCAAATAGCTGGAATTAGAGGCACCCACCACCATGCCTGGCTAATTTTTGTATTTTTAGTAGAGACAGGGTTTCACCACGTTGGTCAAGCTGGTCTCGAACTCCTGACCTCAAGTGAGCTGCCCACCTAAGCCTCCCAAAGTGCTGAGATTATATACAGGTGTGAGCCCCTGCCCTTTATTTCTGATAGATGTCTGGGAGCACTGGCAGTTTAGGGTCACATTAATTTCATGTCAAAGACTGCTATTAAGTCCAGGCTGTTTTGCAATCATTGTATAAGCTTGCATAAGCATAGCTCACCCCTGTGTCTATAGTGCAGCCCTTCAGGGTCTCAACTCAAAGAAAGGATGCATTCACCAGGCATGTGCTTGCCCCAGGTAAACTCTGAATTCCAATCCCTGTCACTCAGCATAAAAAGCAATGCTCAGCTCTCAGTTGTGAAACCTTGAATTGCTCACCTACCTGAGCCTCTATCTTCTTCTACCTCCTGGCCCAGTAAGTCTTCACTATCTTGTTAGCTTTCTGAAGCTTTCAAACATGTTTTTAACATTGGCCCAGTTTTTCTAGTTATCATCAGCAGTGGGGGGGCCAGAATTTCCTCGTTTGCCATTACTAGAAGACCTTCACCACGATTTTTAAAGTAATAAAAAGTTAAAATTAATAGTAAATATTTCATGACCAAGGAGGGCTTACATTGGTTATAATTGTCCAATTAAGCTAGGTATACTGAAAGACAACATAGAGTGGCAACTGAGGGCACGGATTCTGGAACTAGACTGGGTGGGTTCTTCTGCTTTCTCTCTACATGATTAGGTCATGAACATCGAGGCCGGCTTGATAAACTTCTTGGTAATAGTGACTCATGCATGCGTCTGCTGTGAAGAGTACAACTCTGATCGTACCTCTGCAGTGTGGTCTCTCTGGGCGCCTTTCACCGCATCCCCTCTGCACCACCCCCACCTCGGCTATGCACTTACCTCATGGCAATGGCTTGTTCATGTGCTCATGAGCCCCTTGCAAGTGAGAACCACTGGGTCTAGCACAACAGCTGGGCACACAAGGCCTTCAAGAAGTGTCTCATTGAACCAGTGACAACATTGAGATAGAGACTCCAAGAGTGGGTCAGGTTTAGGAGTAGATATTAAGTTAAGTTTGAAACATTTTTGAGATACCCAAAGAAGGCTGATGAGAAGGCATCAACGTGCAGGACTGAAGCACAGGGCTGGAGTGGGCTGGGGTGTGCCTACTGGGGAAGCATCCACAGACAGATGTTAACAGGAGACACAGCAGTGAGAAGCCAACAGGCAGGACAGTGCATCGGGAGTGAGAAAGACGTGGCTGACGATGCAGCCTCTGAGAAATGTAAGGGGCAGATGAAGGAGAAGACTCCTTTCTGAGAAGGACGTGTCAGTGACTGAGAAGACCAGGAGCGGGGAAAGCTACAGAAGTTAACAGAAGAAGGCTAGAGTTTGAAGGCAGAAAAGGCCAGCATTATGAATGCTGCAGACGAGTCAAGGAAAAGACAGACAGAACATCAGGAGTCTCCTCAGCTAGGGGGAGTGCAGGAGGACTGGGTCCAGAGGCAGCAGATTCAAGAGCTGCTGGGAGGGAGCATCCACAGACTGCTTGACTGGATGTCTGGAGAGGTGCCTTGAACAGCAGGAGGATGTGTACCACTCACTCCCCCAGGAAGCACGAGGGAGGAAGTAAGAGGAGGTTGCAGGGCTGTGGGGAGACTTGGGGCCTGCTGAATTTCAGGTGCCTGTGGGACACTCATGATATGATGTTAAGTAAACAACTTGACATATGATCTGGAGCTCAGAGAAGCAATCTAGGATGGAGCTATGGATTTGGCAGTCACAGATGAAACAGATACATGGAATTTTCAGAGAGCAAATCCCATTCCAGTTCCTGTTCCCCAAATCCTGCGTCACAGCCCCACCTTTGTTTCCAGGGACAAACTCACCTTCCCTACATCAGAGCTGATGCTGAGGACCTTGACAAAGTCGTCCCCGGAGGTTATGGCCTTCTGCCCAGTCAGCATTTTGAAAATGGAAGACTTCTCAGCCCCAGTGATGCCAAGAAGGCCAGAGCATTCTTGTGCTTGCAGTGAAGGACACTTTGTTCACAGACAGCAGGTCACCTTGTTGATGTAGATCTGAGACACACAAGATAGGAGAAACAGTGAGGAGGCTGCCATGCAGTCAGCAGTCCAGGGGTTGCACTGTGCTTGGTGCAAACCTGCTCTGGGATAGCTACCAGCTGCCCTCTGGGCCCACGTGGCCTCTCCTGTACCCAGGCTCATACTTGCCTTCTCTCAGCTGCTACTCCCAGCAGGGTTTATTAAAGTTTTCTCTTCTCCAACTGTCTTCACATATTGAGAACTTAGTTCCCTAAGATAGGCCCTTTCCCTTCTGTCCTTAAAGCAAACAAAACTTTTTGATGTTGCCTGAGGGTTTGTTTTCGATTTTTTTTTTTTTTTATTTTTCCTTGCAGATGGAGTCTCCCTCTGTCACCCAGGCTGGAGATCAGCAGGGCGGTCTCAGCTCACTGCAACCTACGCCTCCTGGGTTCAAGCAATTCTCTGTCTCAGCCTCCCGAGTAGCTGGTACTATAGGCACCCCTCACCACACCTGGCTAATTTTTTTTGTATTTTAGTAGAGATGGGGTTTCCCTGTGTTGCCTAGGCTGGTCTCGAACTCCTGAGCTCAGACAATCCGCCTGCCTCGGCCTCTGAAAGTGCTGGGATTATAGGCGTTAGCCACTGCACCTGGCCTTGATTTTGTTTTTAACCACCAGTAACCACAGGGAAACAATAAGAAAAACAAATTTGGGAGGAGGTTTGAAGGGTTTTGTTTGTTTGTTTGTTTTGAGATAGAGTTTCTTGTCACCCAGGCTGGAGAGCAAAATGATGTGATCTCGGTTCACTGCAACCTCCAACTCCTGGGTTCAAGCAATTCTCCTGTCTCAGCCTCCTGAATAGCTGGGATTACAGGTGCCCACCACTACGCCCTGCTAATTTTCCTATTTTTAATAGAGAAGGGCTTTTACCATGTTGGCCAGGCTGGTCTCAGAAATTCCTGACCTCAAGTGATCTGCCCACTTTGGCCTCCCAAAGTGCTGGGATTACAGGCGTGAGCCACCGCACCTGGCCCACATCCTTGGTTCTTGAGGTTCATGGCTCTGGCTCCCCTCCCATCCCAGGCCCTCCTGTCTTCCAGGGTAAGAGACAGTGGAGGGCTGAGCTGCAAATTTCTGTCTCTGGGTACACAGATGAACTCATGTGATTAACTCTGAGGCACTTCCAATACTCCACACCTGCAGGCAAGGCTGGGAGCCCTTCAACTTACTGATTCCTTATGCAAAGGGCCCAAAAGAAGAATGTTCATGACTTTTTAAAGACAAGTCTGACTTTAACTTTGACATTTCTTTAACAACTAGTGGAGTTTTCTCCACTAGTTGGCAAACTAGTCTGGATACTTTTTGCCTCCTCTTGCACATCTTGGTCTTCAGGCACTAATGCTACTGTGTGCAACACTGCCTGTATTCCAAGACAAGGAGGGAAAATGTAACTGCTTTTGTGATGGTAGGAGGTAGCGATTGAAAGGACCTACAAAGACTGGATCCTCTCCGGGAAGGCCTCAAAGGTGCCCAGCTGACATTGGTTCTCATAAAACCTCCCACCCCTATTCCAGAAGCAACTACAGGCATCAAAAACTGAACTCCCATTGCCATGACCATGATATCGTGGACATGCAAACAAAATGGCATTGCCTTTTGAGGAAAACTAGATGACTTATAACCTGGGGATATCAAAATATAATAAACGCCTATTTTCTACAGTTTCCTTGGGTGATCTTGACCTCTGGAAGATACTCAGACCAAGAGCTGACTGGGCAGAACTTTCTCCTACCTGGCTCATGGATGTCTGTGGGGAAAGAGGTGTTCCAGAAGGTGACTGGTTTCAGGAATCCCAGGTAATTTTTTTATTTTTTATTTTTTTGAGACAGAGTCCTACTCTGTTGCCCAGGCTGGAGTGCAATGGCACAATTTGGGCTCACTGCAACCTCTGCCTTCCAGTTCAAGCAATTCTCGTGCCTCAGCCTCCTGAGTAGCTGGGATTACAGGCACCCACCACCACGCCTGGCTAATTTTTATATTTTTAGTAGAGATGGGGTTTTACCATGTTGGCCAGGTTGGTCTCAAACTCCTGACCTCAGGCCAATCCACCCGCTTCAGTCTCCCAAAGTGCTGGGATTACAGGCGTGAGCCACCATGCCTGGACCAATCCCAGAGTATTGTTTCTATTCATTGATGAGCAGGACTTAAAGCCCCACAGGTGGCCAGCATCATTAACAGGACCTAGGGACTAAGCCCCAGTCTTCCTCCCTCTCTGGGAGTCCCTGGGCACAAGCTGTCACCTCTCTGCTCTGAGATGGGACCAGATGATCTGCGGGCTCCCTCTGATGCTGAGAATCAATGCAGCTACAGACCACAGGAAGGAAGCTATGGAGCCCCTAGAAGATTTACATGTTGACCCACTCACCAAATTTTGCTTCATGCAGAAGTCAGACACCCTGGTTTTCAGTTTCCAGAACATATTGGTTTCAACAAAGAAAAGCAGGATGATGTACACAGGTCCTGAAACAGCCAGAGCTGTGAGGTACTTCCCCATACCTAGTGACTCTCAGGCATAGGTGTTCTTTTGGACCACATATCCTTTTGCTAAAATAGGACAAATAGATGTTATTAAACTCTGGGTGATCTTCAAGGCTATTCTTCACCTTTACATATAGTAGGTGCAGTCCTCTTATAACAAATATTATTTTTTATTTTTTATTTTTTTTGAGACGAAGTCTCGCTCTGTCGCCCAGGCTGGAGTGCACTGGCCGGATCTCAGCTCACTGCAAGCTCCGCCTCCCGGGTTCACGCCATTCTCCTGCCTCAGCCTCCCGAGTAGCTGGGACTACAGGCGCCTGCCACCTCGCCCGGCTAAGTTTTTGTATTTTTAGTAGAGATGGGGTTTCACTGTGTTAGCCAGGATGGTCTCCATCTCCTGACCTCGTGATCCGCCCGTCTCGGCCTCCCAAAGTGCTGGGATTACAGGCTTGAGCCACTGTGCCCGGCCTTAACTTTTCAATTATGTTAAAAATTTGCTTCAAGTTAGAAGTCTTTTTTTTTTTTTTTTCTTTTGAGACGGAGTCTTGCTCTGTCGCCCAGGCTGGAGTGCAGTGGCCGGATCTCAGCTCACTGCAAGCTCCGCCTCCCGGGTTCACGCCATTCTCCTGCCTCAGCCTCCCGAGTAGCTGGGACTACAGGCGCCCGCCACCTTGCCCGGCTAATTTTTTGTATTTTTAGTAGAAACGGGGTTTCACCGGGTTAGCCAGGATGGTCTCGATCTCCTGACCTCATGATCCGCCCGTCTCGGCCTCCCAAAGTGCTGGGATTACAGGCTTGAGCCACCGCGCCCGGCCTTTTTTTTTTTTTTTTTTTTAATTGAGACGGAGTCTTGCTCTGTCGCCCAGGCTGGAGTGCAATGGCGCAATCTTGGCTCACTGCAAGCTCCTCCTCCCAGGTTCACACCATTCTCCTGCCTCAGCCTCCCGAGTAGCTGGGACTTCAGCTAATTTTTTTAGCTGGGCGCCACCACGCCCAGCTAATTTTTTTTTTTTGTATTTTTTTTTTTTTTTTGTATTTTTAGTAGAGATGGGGTTTCACCGTGTTAGCCAGGATGGTCTCGATCTCCTGGCCTCATGATCCACCCCTCTCGGCCTCCCATAGTGCTGGGATTACAGGTGCGAGCCACCGCGACCGGCCAGAACTCTCAATTTTTTGTTTGTTTCTGAGACAGGGTCTCACTCTGTCAACCAGGCTGGAGGGCAGTGGTGTGATCTTGGCTTGCTGCAGCCTTGACCTCCTGGGCTCAAGCGATCCTTCTGCCTCAGCCTCCCTGGTAGCTGGGACTACAGGTGTGTACCACCGCGCTTGGCTAATTTTTTATTTTTTGACGAGATGGGGTCTTGTTTTGCCTCCTGTATGAGACAGGTGGCTGACTTAGTTGACCCCAAGACCTTTCCCAACTTGGAGGCTCAGTGGATGACAGCTTCCCAGTAATTGTGTGATTCAAGGTTATGAAACAATAAAGTTAATCTCTTGACTAACCCACAAAAGTCAGTCTTATTTTACATTAATACTTGTGGATAGCTAAATCAAGAACACTTCATAAAATGCACCTTAATATTCTTTTTTTTTTTTTTTTTTGAGACGGAGTTTTGCTCTCATTGCCCAGACTGGAGTGCAATGGCATGATCTTGGCTCATCGCAACCTCTGCCTCCTGGATTCAAGCAATTCCCCTGCCTCAGCCTCCCAAGTAGCTGGGATTACAGGCATGCGCCACCACGCCCAACTAATTTTGTATTTTTAGTAGAGACGGGGTTTCTCCATGTTGGTCAGGCTGGTCTCAAACTCCCAACCTCAGGTTATCCGCCTGCCTCAGCCTCCCAAAGTGCTGGGATTACAGGCATGAACCACTGTGCCCAGCCACACACCAATATCTTTTTTCTTTTTTTTTTTGAGATGGAGTCTCATTCTTGTTGCCCAGGCTGGAGCCTTGGCTCACTGTCACTGCAACCTCCACCTCCAGGGTTCAAGCAATTCTCCTGCCTCAGCCTCCCAAGTATAGCTAGGATTACATGCACCCACCACCATGCCCAGCTAATTTTGAGATCGATCGATCTATCTATCTATCTATCTATCTATCTATCTATCTATCTATGTATTTTTTTTAGTAGAGACAGGGTATCACCACGTTGGCCAGGCTGGTCTCGAATTCCTGACCTCAGGTTATCCGCTCACCTCAGCTTCCCAAAGTGCTGGGATTACAGGTGTGAGCCACCATGCCCAGCCCAATATCCTTTTTTCAACATTAAAAGAACATTACAGGTTGTCCATATATTTCACAAGAATATATTTAAACAAATTTTAAATTCTAAGTGATACAATACATGATCTGTTTTATAGTGAAAGATACATGCTTTTTGGCTAGCAGATTTAGTACTTTTATTCTATCTTCTTCCTGGTCAGAGGAATGGCCAAGACCTCTACTATAATCTTTTATGATTCCTTCTTACATTGGGTTAATCCTATACAGACCATCACCCTTCGCCTTTGAACTAGAGCAGAGACTGTGATAGTGCCGAAACTTGGCAGTCAATCTTTTATGCCTAAAATATGCACATTTTTTCTTAAGCCCCTGTAAAAGGCTGATGTAACTTCTTGACAGAATGACAGCATATTTCCAAGAGTTAAACCAATATGTGCTTTCTTACATATATTTGGAATATGTTACTTACCCCAGCGTTTGGTCTGATTGGCAGCCCAGTCTGTATTGAGAAGATCCTTGAATGAAGATGTTTACTTCTGTCAACAGGAATTCTGTTAAGTGCGGCTGGGGATGCATAGAGGGACGTTTGACGTTTGAGATAGCTGTACTGGATCTGCCAACATACAACCCCTAAACCAAACCAAAACCAAAACCAAATTCTCAAAATCATGGCACAGTTCATTTTGCTTGGATTTAAAGAATGAAAGTAATATGATATTTGAAAAAAAATAAGTTAGGATAAGAATAATGAAGAAAAAAGCTGCATCTAGATTATATATAGTGGGTAGCAAGTATATACTGACTATAAACAGGCTAGCAAGGTCTTAATAAGTCCTAAGTATTGAGTTAACTAACCAATGGCTTTTCCAAATAACTGAGGCAACACTAGTATGAACAGATTTTGTCATTTTCCCTAAAAGATTCTACATGCAAATTAAAACAAAATGATATATCATTTAATAACTATTTCATGAGCAAAACTGAAAATTATAAAGCAGAGCTCTGCTGAGACTCTAGGCCAGGAATTGGTAAACAATGGCCAGCGGGCCATATCCAGCCCAAGGGATTCTGAGTTCGGAATGAACTATGGTTGATTCTGAGCAATATATACATTATATTTACACTATGTAGGCTTAGCAGCATAATCAAGGATATTATGTAAGTATACAACCATCTAACATAACCCTAAACATTGAAACTCACATATACAAATAAATACGTGTGTGTATGTGTGTGTGCGTGTATATATATATAGCGCCATTATATACTATATATACAGTATATAGTATATACTGGCTATAAACTGGCTAGCAAAGTCTTTTTTTTCCTTTTTTTTTGGGATGGAGTCTCACTCTGTCACCCAGGCTGGAGTGCAGTGTCGTGATCTCGGCTCACTGTAAGCTCCGCCTCCTGGGTTAAAGCCATTCTCCTGCCTCAGCCTCTCGAGTAGCTGGGACTACAGGCGCCCGCCATCACACCTGGCTAATTTTTTTTTCTCTTTTTTTATTAGAAACGGGGTTTCACAGTGTTAGCCAGGATGGTCTCGATCTCCTGACCTCGGGATTCACCTGCCTCAGCCTCCCAAAGTGCTGGGATTACAGGTGTGAGTCACCGCGCCTGGCTGCAAAGTCTTAAATAAGTCCCAAGTATTGAGTTAACTAACCAATATGTGTGTATAGGTATGTACATACACAAATATATTTAAAGTATATATATATACACACACACACACAAATATGTGTATGTAAAGTATATATATACTAATATGTGTATATATACACACACTATATATGTGTATATATGTACTATATAATAAAATGTAATATGTGTATGTAAAATATATATATTAATATGTGCATATATACATACACATACTATATATACACATATTACATATGTATATATACACATGTATATATAGCTACTATATATACATTTACAGTGTATATATATAAGTATATATAATCATATATATGTATAAGTAGTACATAGTATGTATGTGTATGCACACACACACGCTTAAAAAAATAGAGCCTGGGTCTCACTTTATTGCCCAGGCTGGATTTCAGTGGTGATCATGGCTCACAGCTGCCTCGAATTCCTGGGCTCAAGGGATCCTCTTGCCTCAGCCTCCCAAATAGGTGGGACTACAGGCATGGGCCACTGTATCTGGCCTGGAACTAGTTATATAATTACTTACATAATATCCTTGATTATGCTGCTAAGCCTACATAGCATAAAATACTTACTATGTGATCCTTTTTTTTTTTTAATGTAGTCTCGCTCTGTTGCTAAGTTGGAATGCAGTGGCGCGATCTTGGCTCACTGCAACTTTCACCTTCCAGGTTCAAGCAGTTCTCCTACCTCAGCCTCCCAAGTAGCTGGGATTACAGGCACGGGCCACCACACCCAGCTAATTTTTGTATTTTTAGTAGAGACGGGGTTTCACCATGTTGGCCAGGATGGTCTCGATCTCTTCACCTCGTGATCCATCTGCTTCGGTCTCCCAAAGTGCTGGGATTACAAGCGTGAGCCACTGCGCCCAGCTATGTAGCCCTTTAAGAAAAAGTCTGCTGACCCCTGCTCTAGGCAAAAAGATGTGTTTGGTTGGCAGCAAAGTGTCAGTGTGCCAGGAAACTATTTCTACTCACAGGCTTTGGGCTGTCATTCTACTAAGAATTTGTCACAGCAAAATAACCCAGGAAATTGACTTTTTTCCTTCAGTATGACTCTGTAAAAGATGGTGTATTTGTTATCTAATACTGTGACACAGATTATCCCAAAAGTTAGTAGCTTAAAACAACAGTAAACATTTATTATCTCACACAGTTTCTGGGGGTCAGGAATTTGAGAGTGGCTTAGCTAGTGAGGGTGGTTCTATATTAAGATTTCTCATGAGGCTGCGGTTAAACTATTAGACAGGGCTGCAGTCCCTTGATGGCTTGACTGGGGCTGAGGCATCTACTTCCAGGAGCAGAAAGTTCAGAGAGTTTCCACAGCTCCCCTCACCCCCATTTCCCTACTATTTTTTTTTTTTTTTTTAGACGGAGTCTCTCTCTGTTGCCAGGCTGGAGTGCAATGGTGCGATCTCGGCTCACTGCAACCTCCGTCTCCTGGGTTCAAGCGATTCTCCTGCCTCAGCCTCCTGAGTAGCTGGGATTACAGGCATAAGCCACCACACCCAGCTAATTTTTGTATTTTTAATAGAGACAGAGTTTCACCATATTGGCCAGGATGGTCTTGATCTCTTGACCTCAGGTGATCCACCTGCCTCAGCCTCCCAAAGTGCTGGGATTACAGGTGTGAGCTGCTGCGCCCAGCCCCATTTCCCTGTTTTAAACACCTTGCATTAGTGTGGTTCACCATTACAAATGAACTAGCATTTCCATCAGGTTCTTTGTTTTGTTTTGTTTTTTTTAAAGAAATTGACAAGTTTATTTTAAAATTTACATGATAATGTCAAGGATCTACAATACCCAAAACAATCTTCAAAAAACAGAACAAAGCTGGAAGAACTATATACTACCAGACTTTTTTTTTTTTTGTGAGATGGAGTCTCACTCTGTCGCCCAGGCTGGAGTACAGTGGCACGATCTCGGCTCACTGCAAGCTCCGCCTCTCGGGTTCACGCCATTCTCCTGCCTCAGCCTCCCCAGCAGCTGGGACTACAGGCACACACTGCCACGCCCGGCTAATTTTTTGTATTTTTAGTAGAGATGGGGTTTCATCGTGTTAGCCAGGATGGTCTTGATATCTCGACCTCGTGATCCGCCCACCTCAGCCTCCCAAAGTGCCGGAATTACAGGCGTGAGCCACCGCGCCCGGCCAATACTACCTGACTTTAAGATATACTACAAAGCTACAGTAATCTCGACAATGTAGTACTAGCACAGGACAAACAAACAGATCAATGAAACAGAAGAGGGAATGTACAGACATACAGTCAACTGATTTTTGGTGAAGGCATCTGAACAACTCAATGTGGGAAAAAAAAAGTCTTTTCAACAAATAGTCTGTCCCATCTGCATACTCATGTGGAAGAAAATGAGCCTCAACCCCTGTGATACAACGATGTATCATATACAACGATGTATCATATACAATGATGTATCATATACAACGATGTATCACAGGGGTCGAGGCGGTGATATCATTATATCATAGGGGTCAATAAAATATGTTTTCATTCATAGTTCCTGGCTCATAACTCCTGTAGCTGTTATTTCTCCCCAAGGCAGGCCACAGAAACTAAAAATATAATCATCCTGCATCTTTCTGTCTTAGAGGTGGCCATAAAGAAATTCTCTGACCTATCTTGTCTGAATGTAGGTCATAAGACCCCCACCACACCATTAGGCCAGGTGCTGTGGCTCTCGCCTGTAATCCCAGCACTTTGGGAGGCCGAGACGGGCGGATCACGAGGTCAGGAGATGGAGACCATCCTGGCTAACACGATGAAATCCCGTCTCTACTAAAAATACAAAAAAATTAGCCAGGCGTGGTGGCGGGTGCCTGTAGTCCCAGCTACTCCAGAGGCTGAGGCAGGAGAATGGCGTAAACCTGGGGGGCGGAACTTGCAGTGAGCTGAGATCACGCCACTGCACTCCAACCTGGGCAAAGAACAAGACTTCGTCTCAAAAAAAAAAAAAAAAAAGACCCTCCCATTTTAGAAGGTGTCCTATCCCACACCTTGGGGGAAAGAACGCTGCACAGAGAGGCCAAGAAGGATCTGAACAGACAGGCCTTGCGGGTTTCCCCCCTCACACTGCTAGTATTACATAGTACTCTTTTTGTCCAATCTCATTTCTACACAGTTGTCCATGCTTTGGTCATACCTATCCAATGAAGTCTCCATAGAAGGCCCAAGAGGAGCTTCCAGAGAGGTGAACAATTGGAGGTTCCTGGAGGGTGTCTGGGGAGGCCACAGAGGCTCCATACCCTTTCCCAATACCTCACGCTATGCATCTCTTCTTCTGCATCCTTTGTAATATCCTTATAATAAACTGGGAAATGTGTTTCCCTGAGTTCTGTGAGCCACTTTAGCAAATTAATTTAACCTAAGGAGGGGGTAATAGGATCCCTAGTTTATAGCTGGTCGGTCAGAAGTACAGGTAAGTGTGTGGTAGCTAACACCTATAATCCCAGCTACTCAGGAGGCTGAGGCAAGAGGATCACTTGAGCCCAGCCCAAGAGATAGAGACCAGCCTGAGCAACATAGTGAGGCCTTGTCTCTAAAAAAAAAAAAAAAAAAAAAAAAAAAAAGGACAGGTAAAACAACCTGGGGCTTGTGATTGACACCGGAAGTGGGAAGTCTTGTGGAACTTAGCCCTCGATTTGTGGGATCTGATGCTATCTCCAAATAGTGTCAGAATTGAATTAGAGGACACTCAGCTGCTGTCTGCTGCAGAACTCATTGCTTGCTTGTTGTTGGGGGGAAATTCCTGCACATTTTATCATAGAAGGCTTCTGTGTTGATTGCTGTGATGTAAGAGCAGAAGAAAAACAGTGTATGTTTTTCCACTTCACCTCTTATCAAACCGTACACAAGGCTGGGCACCATGACTCATGCCTATAATTCCAACACTTTGGGAAGCCGAGGTGGGAAGATTGCTTGAGCCCAGGAGTTAGAGACCAGCCTGGGCAGTATAGCAAAACCCCATCTCTACAAAATATAAAAAATCTTAGCCAGGTGCGGTGGTGTGCGCCTGTAGTACTAGCTACTTGGAAGCCTGAGGTGGGATCACTTAAGTCCAGGAGGCAGAGGCTGCAGTGAGCTGTGACCACACCACTGCACTCCAGCCTGGGTGACAGAGTGAGACCTTGTCTTGCACACACGTGCACACACACACACGCACAGCCATACACAAAAATTAACAGAAAATGGGTCACAGACCTAAAATGATAAAATTCCTAGAATAAAAAGTAGAAGCATAACTTTATGACCTAAGGGTAGGGAAATACTTTTTAGAAAGCATACAGAACACAGTAACCATAAAAAAAATTTAGGGGCCAGGCATGGTGGCTCACGCCTGTAATCCCAGCACTTTGAGAGGCCGAGGCGGGCGGATCACCTGAGGTCAGGAGTTTGAGACCACCCTGGCCAACATGGTGAAACCCCGTCTCTGCTAAAATACAAAAAGTTAGCTGGGTGTGTTGGCATGCACCTGTAGTCCCAGCTACTCGGGAGGCTGAGGCAGGGGAATCCGTTGAACCTGGATGGCAGAGGTTGCAGTGAGCCAAGATCATGCCACTGTACTCCAGCCTAGGTGACCTAGTGTGACCCTGTCTCAAAAAAAAAAAAACTACCACTAAGAATATGAAGAAGCAAGCCACATACTGGAAGAAAATGTAGATAAAACACATATCTGACAAAAGATCTATATCTAGAATATATAGAAATTTCAACAACTCAAAAAATGAAAACTGAGCTGCAGGTTTAATAATTGCATACCTTTTGGTGTATATGTTATACTTCAACAAAAATGTAAGTATTTAAAAAACTGGCTATGTGCAGTGGCTCACACCTGTAATCTCAGCACTTTGGGAGGCCGAGGGGGTGGATAGCTTGAGCCTAGGAGTTTGAGACCAGCCTGGTCAACATAATGAGACTTTGTCTCCACAAAAAAGAAAATAGTCTCAATGGAAGTGTTTAGCTGAAGATCAGAAACATCTGCAGAGTGAATCAATGACCTGGATGCAGATCAGAACATATTATGTAGAGTACAGCTCAGAGAGACAAAGAGTTGGACAATATTTAAAAAGTTAAAATTCACATAGCAGAGTGATAAGATCTATCTAATATGTCTAACTGGAGTTCCAAAACGAGAGGAGATATTTGAGCAGAGGCCCTGTATGAACAGATAATAATAGCTGGGGATTCTAAACTCATGGAAGATGTGCATAGCCAGACATCAATCAAGTCTCAAGTAGAATACACACGTATCAAAATATCACATGTATTCCATACATACGCACATTATGTATCAATAAAATTTGTTTAAAGACCAGGTGCAATAGCTCATGCCTGTAATCCCAGCACTTTGGGAGGCCAAGGTGGGTGGATCACTTGAGGGCAGGAGCTCAAGACCAGCCTGGCCAACATGGTGAATCCCCATCTCTACTAAAAATACAAAAATCACCTGTAATCCCAGGCACTTTGGAAGGTCGAGGCAGGCAGACTACTGGAGGTCGGGAGTTTGAGACCAGGCTAGCCAACATCATGAAACCTCATCTGTACTAAAAATACAAAAATTAGTCGGGTGTGGTGCCAGGGGCCTGTAGTCCCAGCTACTCAGGAGGCTGAGGCAGGAGAATTGCTTGAATCTGGGATGCAGAGACTGCAGTGAGCCAAGATTCAGGTATCCCTGTTATTGGAAGTACTAGTCAGAGGCTGGAAGGCCATTCAGTGAGGTTGCTACAGAAAAGATTCAAGCATCAGGCAATGTTTAGATACATGACCTTTAAGATCCCTTCCAATCCTAAGAACCTTGGAGTCTTACAGTTTTATATGTGCTTACCTTATGAAGACATCCTCCATGGCGGTGACAGAGGCCCCAAAGCTGGAGATGCCCAGGTCTACCTGTCTCAGTTCCAAGTCAGTAAATAGAGATTCAAACCTGGAAGAAAACAAATGGTTTTAGTCCTGAAAGGTGTAAGGTGAATCCCTTTTGTCACTGCCCTTGGCTCTCTACTGGGGAACAGCATGGACTTTGGAGTCAAGAAGATATTTTTTCAAACACCAGCTTTGTCACCAGCTTTGTAAGTATGGGAATGTCAGGGGCCCTTCACAGCTTTTTAACGTATTTACTCTGTGGATGCTTTCAACAGCTCTTCGAGGACAGTGCAGAGAAGTTAAGAAACTTCCCTGAGGCCATACAGCCAGAAGCAGCAGAGCCAGGACTCAAGCTCAGGCCTTTCATCTCTAGAGAGAGTGGTTTCAATTGTTATCTAAGTGAGGAAAGGAGCTAATTCTTTTAGTCTGCTCATGTTAAAACCTTTCTCAAACATATTTTCTATTTTTTTTTTATTAAAAGAATCATGGCTTTTTTTGTGATATTAAGACAACCATCATAATCTTCTACAATGAAGGCTTCGTTTTTTTTTTTTTTTTTGAGATGGAGTGTCACTCTGTTGCCCAGGATGGAGTGCAGGGGCACAATCTCCGCTCACTGCAAGCTCCGTCTCCCGGGTTCACGCCATTCTGCTGCCTCAGCCTCCCGAGTAGCTGGTACTATAGGCGCCTGCCACGACGCTTGGCTAATTTTTTTGTATTTTTAGTAGAGATGGAGTTTCCCCGTGTTCGCCAGAAGGGTCGTGATCTCCTGACCTTGTGATCCGCTCGCCTCGGCCTCCCAAAGCGCTGGGATTACAGGTGTGAGCCACTGCACCTGGCCCTAAGGTTTCTATCTCTCACAACCTAGTGTCCAACTTTTAAGAAACCAGACACACATGCCAGATGCCTATACAAGGTCTGCAGGGGCTTTGTGTGTGTCCCTGTCGGCAGACAATGGTTATAAACTAATCATGGCTGGGTTTGAGTCTAGACTCTGTCACTTACAAGTTTTGTGATTTTTGAGCCAGTTATTTCACCTTTCCAAATCTTTCCTCACCTGTAAGACAGATATTACCTAATTCAAAAAAGTTGTAAGGACTGAGAAAAATGTAAACACACTTAGCAAAGTAGCCCCCGTGTGTTAAATATTCAGCAAATACTATTTACTGAATATGGTCAATAGTATGTCATACCTTCAGTATGTTCACTATCTTGCCCTTCATTCAGTTTCCAGTTACTGAAATTGTACTCATGCTATAGCTACTGTCTGCCAACAAGATCAGAGTATCCCTTTTAAAATATTGACTCGGCCAGGCACAGTGGCTCAAGCCTGTAATCCCAGCACTTTGGGAGGCCAAGACGGGCGGATCACAAGGTCAGGAGATCGAGACCATCCTGGCTAACATGGTGAAACCCCGTCTCTACTAAAAAATACAAAAAACTAGCCAGGCGAGGTGGCGGGTGCCTGTAGTTCCAGCTACTTGGGAGGCTGAGGCAGGAGAATGGCGCAAACCCTGGAGGCGGAGCTTGCAGTGAGCTGAGATCCGGCCACTGCACTCCAGCCTGGGCAACAGAGCGAGACTCCGTCTCAAAAAAATAAATAAAATTAAAAAAAAAATAAAATAAAATATTGACTCTAAATTTATGTAAAGTATCTTGTTCTTAAATGCACAGTTTGATGTAATCTCACCCTAATCAAGACACTGAACATTCCATCACCCTAGAAAATGCCTCCATGTCCCCTTTGATGAGTCCCTCTCTTGCCCTCAGATAACCAAATCTCCTAAATTTTAGATTAGTTTTACTTCTTCTTGATCTTCATGTAAATGAAATCATATGACCTTTTCATCTCCTGCTTCATTCATGTAACATGTTTTTGAGGTTAAACCATGTTGTTGCATGCATTAGTTCATTCTCGTTAACTGCAGAGCAGCATTCAACAAAAGGAATATATCTATTCTCCTGTTGATAGACATTTGGATTGTTCCTGTGTAAGGATGCTTATGCATAAAGTGGCTATAAATGTTCTTCTACGTGTCCTGTGTCTGGACATGTTTTCGTTTATTTTGAATAACACAGTAGATAAACGATAGCTGCAAATTCTTTGCTACTTTTCCCACTGAGAGGTGGCCTTTAATTCCCTTTCATCTGGGCTGGCCTTAGTGTCTTGCTTGACTGAGAGGATACAATGCAAGTGATGGATATTGGGTAGAAGAAGGCTTTAGGTATCTTGATTTCTTTGGGAGCCCCAAGCCACTAGATAAGAAGCTTCACTACCTTGAAACCAGGCTGAATCCATGCCAAGGCGCAGACATGTGAACAAAGCCTCCAGATAAGTCCACTCCCCAACTAGTGTTTTGTTAAAGGCTTTTATGTTTATGCCCATGATCGATATTAGTCTGTAATTTCCTGTTGTCATACCTTTTCCAGGTTTTGGTATCAGGGTTGTGCTGGTCTTAAAATGAGTTGGGAGGTGCTTCCTTCTCTATTTTCTAAAATATTGAGATTATTTTTTTCTTCAGTGTTTCACAGAATCCGGAGTTCTCTTTTTGGGAATACTTTTGATTGCAAATTCAATTTCATGAATAGATATATGGTTATTCAGATTTTTCTGCTTCATTTTGTAAGTTTTGGTAAGTTGTATTTTTAAAGAAATCAGTCCGTTTTACCTAAATTGTCCAATTTATTTACATGTGATATTTTATTATTACCCTTTTTGTAACTCTGGGCTCTGTAACTATAGCAGTTATTTCCTAACTGATGCTAGTTAATTTTCTTTTTTTCTTTAATGGTCTTGGAATTAATGGTTTATCATTTAATGGGTTATCAATGTAATTTATTTATCAATTTTATTAATCTTTTAAAATAACTTTTTGCTTTTTAGCTTTTTAGCATTTGTCGTTTCTCAGTTTTCTTTTTGTTTCTTATTACATTATTTTCTCTCCCTATATTTTTCATTTCTTCTCTTCTGTATCATCTGGGTTTAATTTTCTCTTCCTATCTTTTCAGTTGGAAACAGGTAAATGATTTTAAGCCCCTTTTCTTTTCGAGTGTAAGTTTTTAAAAGTTATATATTTCCCTCTAAGCACTGCCTCAGTAGCATCTGAAAATTTTTAATACATTGTATTTTCATCATCATTCGGTTAAAAATATTTTCTACTTTTTTTTTCTTTTTTTTTTTTGAGACGGAGTCTCGCTCTATTGCCAGGCTGGAGTGCAGTGGCGCGATCTCGGCTCACTACAACCTCCGCCTCCTGGTTCAAGCAATTCTCCTGCCTCAGCCTCCCGAGTAGCTGGGACTACAGGCACGCACCACCACGCCCGGCTAATTTTTGTATTTTTAGTAGAAACAGGGTTTCACCATGGTGGCCAGGATGGTCTCAATCTCTTGACCTCGTGATCCACCTGCCTTGGCCTCCCAAACTGCTGGGATTACAGGTGTGAGCCACCGCGCCCGGCCAATTTTCTAGATATCTTACTGTTATCAATTTCTAATTTAATTCCACTGTAGTCAGAGATCATAATCCGCATGATTTCAATTTTTTGAAATTTATTTGGACTTATTTCACAAGAGCATGCCCTCCCAGTAAAACTGGACAAAAATATATGAAGCCATTTCAGATATTAAGCATTAGGAAGTCCAGGACCATGATTGATTCTTGAGAGAAGAGAAACACCAAAGAGAGACCTGTATTTGCCCCAGCTCTTTGGCTTGGGTACTTTCTAGAACATGGCCCAGAAAAGTAAAGGCAAATCAGTGTGTAGCAGTGGACTTGCTGAGCTGAGAAGGTAGAGATGAGAGGTCAGAGCTTCTAAAATGTGTGGACTTTGTGGGACTAGGACAGGAGAGGAGAAGCTGGTAGGGGAGGGCCCAAGTAATCTATTATGGTAAATATCCCATAGGCATTTGGAGAGAATGGGTGTTCTGCAGCTATAGTTTGTAGTGTCTATCTACAGGGAGTAAGTGTGATGACAATATTATCAAAGTATTTTATATCCTTAATGAGTTTTTTTGTCTACTTTTTCTATAAATAACTGAGGAAAGGGTGCTATAATCTCCAAAATGGTTGGGATTTTGACTTCATCTATTTTTGTCAACATTCACTTCATGTATTTTGAAGCTCTGTTATGAGGCACATACATGTAAACAACTGTTATGTCTTCCTGGTGTACTGACTCTCATCAATATGCACTGTCTCTATTTCTGTGGTGTAGCTACTCTGAAAAGATGGCCTAACAATTTCTGCCCTCCCTGATTGAGCATGGCACGTCTCATATCAAGAAGTGGTGCTGACCAGGCGTGGTGGCTCATGCCTGTAATCCCAGCACTTTGAGAGGTCAAGGTGGGCGGATCACGAGGTCAGGAGATCGAGACCATCCTGGCTAACACGGTGAAACCCCGTCTCTACTAAAAATACAAAAAATTAGCCAAGTGTGGTGGCAGGCGCTTGTAGTCCCAGCTACTCCAGAGGCTGAGGCAGGAGAATGGCGTGAACCCAGGAGGCGGAGCTTTCAGTGAACCAAGATAGCACCACTGCAGTCCGGCCTGGGCAAAGTGCGAGACTCCATCTCAAAAATAAATAAATAAATAAAAGAAGTCGTGCTTACTTCCCCTCCCCTTCGACTGCTCTGAGCAATAGAATGTGATAGAAACGACGTGTTGGTATTTCTGAGCCCAGGCCTTAAGAGATGTGGCTATCTTTGCTTTCTTTTGAAACATGCACTCTTGAGATGCTTCTTCTTGGAACCTAGCTGTCATGCTATGAGACACCCAAACCACACTGAGAAGCTGCATGGAGGAGTACTGGGTGTGCCAGTCAGCAGCCCTAGAGAGCTCCCAGTTGATAGCCAGTGCCATCATTCCAGACATAAGAATGAACCATCTCGGATATTCCAACCCATTTGAGGCCCCAGGTAACTGTAGTCCCAGCCAATATTATTTAGAGCATAATGTCTGCCCAGCTGAGCCCAGGCAAGCTACAGAATCACGATAGGCAGTAAAATGGTTGTCATATTAAGTCAGAAAATTTGGGGATAATTTGTTATATAGTATACAACTGAAAC